TACTTTCTGCACCCCCATAAACATAAGTTGAGTTGGATCCTTGTTATGCTTCATTTTAAATTTTTTGGAGAGGCTGTGTTTCTCAAAACCTATTTGAATGTTTCGTACATGTTCTTGGATTCTTATATGAAGTGATCTAGTGGTCCTCCCTATATAGAGTAGGCCACATGTACATTGTATTATATAAATCACCCGTTTAGAGTGACATGTAATTAATTGTTTTATAGGGATTTTTTTTTCCTTATCTTTAGGGTGTATAAAATAATCCATGTATCTTTTTTTATTCTTCGTATTGGTACATGCCCCATAGTTTCCACAGCCATAAAATCCTCCTTTTTCTTTAAAAGGCTTCCTTGCTATTTCTTTCTTAGGAAGATGGCTATGAATTAGTTTACTTTTTAAATTCGGGACTCCTCGATATATTACTTTTGTTTTTTCTGGAAGTATAGAGTTTAGAACCTCATCCCCTTTCAATATAGGCCAATATTTTTTTATAATCATTTGTACATTATTATATTTACAATTAAAATCGCAAATAAACAAAAACTGATTGTCATATCTATAGCTCTTAAATTTATTTCCAATTAAAAGATCCTCCCTATTAGTTAAAAAAGTTTCTTCTATTGCCTTGTTAAGGAGTTCTTCTTCGTACCCCTTCTCTCTCAAATCATTTAAAATCTTCCTGGATTGTTGTCTAAAATCATCTTCCGTGCAATTACGCTTTATCCTTAAAAGCTGGGACTTGGGTACATTCTTAAGCCAGTGGGAGAAGTGGCAACTTTTCTCTTCCACGTAACTATTCACGTCCACTGGCTTAAAGTATGTAATTGTTTTAACTCTATCTTTATCTACATAAATATTTAAATCCCCAAAAATTCACTTCTTGTTTACTAAAGTCGCTTGTCAATTGAATGCCCCAGTCATTAGCGTTCAAAAATTCAAGAAAGTCTTTTAGTGAGGCTTCGCTTCCGCTCCATATAAAGAAAATATCATCAATGTAGCGGCCATAGAGCATCAGATTCGCAGTCCGATCACGTCCACCATAAATAAAATTGTGTTCCCATAGTGACATGAACAGATTGGCATAGCTCAGTGCGAATCTGGTGCCCATTGCCCTGCCAAATGTCTGGAGATAGAAGTTATCCTCAAACCAGAAATAGTTGTGACTTAAAATCCATTGAATGGCTTCCAAAATAAAATCAATCTGAATTTGAGGGAAGGCTTAAAAAAATTCTAAAAAATACCTTGTGGATTGGCATCTCTTCTCATGTGAAATAATAGTGTAGAGGAATCCCACATGTGAGGTAACTAAAAACAGTTCTCGTCCCACGTCTGATCTTTTAAAATTGTCAGAAGGCTAAGAGAATCATCCACATACGTCATCTTCATTGGACGGGGCACACCCATTTGTGATCATTTGAGTTCTAGCGTCTGTTCACTCTTCTGCATTCGTCATCCCCACTGGTTGGGACACACTCGTATTTTGCTCATCCTTACGCCCCAATTTGATGCGGGAATATCGGGCGGACACGTGATTTGGCATTCAGGCCAGCCCCCCTCACATCTTGCCAAGGTATTTCAAAAGGCATATTTTGAACCTTAGCGTGGGATAATTTTTCCGCTAGCTTGTACCAAGTGTAGAGGTAATAAGCGTTTTTCTGCCTTTTTGACTCACAAAGTAAGTTTGCACAGTATATTTTGCAAATCGTATGTGTGCTACGACTGTTTAATACTTCATATGTTTCTCAGCTATGTTGGCTGAGTACAGCAATACCCCCGTATGTACCTTTGCCAGGTATATGTGGACATGTTCACATAATAGATTCCATTCGTTACAACAATATACTGAACATCTATATAAGAAGCTCCACCTTATGTATGTATGTTTTTTGTATTCTATAGTAGTGGTTTAGGGGATACCACTTAAGGTGTTTTTTTGAGCTTTATTAACACTGGTTTTCTCCATATTGTGCACTTATGTGTTGATCTTATGTGTGCTATGACTGTATGATACTTCATATGTTGCTCAGCTATGTCGGCTGAGTACAGCAATACCCCCGTATGTACCTTTGCCAGGTATATATAGATATTGAAGGTGCACATTTGAGAACCAGCCATTCAGTTTTTTTCTAACTTCGAAGTTTTACGCTGTGTCCATGTTCCAATTTGGAGTAGTTTAGACGGTTGGTTATTGAAACTTCCCCACAAACACATACTATGTATTATAGAATACACCCTGGGGTCATTTAAAAGGCATATTTTGAACCTTGGCGTGGGATAATTTTTTCTCTAGTTTGTTCCAGGTGTAGTGGTAATGAGCGTTTTTAAATGCATTTTTTAAAACTTTTTTTACTTTTTAAAACTAGTTTTTAAACTTTTTTTTGCTAATAATTTTTTTATACTTTCCTAAACTTTCTTACATATTTAACATTTTTATAAGCTTTTTTTACCATTAACCCCTAGCTAGCAGTGAGCAACACTAACGGTAAATCCCCCAATTTCCCATAACTTCCACCCACCCCAGCTAGCAAAATATATAATTTTAAAACATTTCAATTAATTAAATAAATGTAAGTTTAAAATTATTTTTAAAAATAAGTTAACCCTAAGGGGTTAAAAAAAAAATTTGTATCGCAGTATAATACTATGATCTGTATTTTGATCACTGTAAGTAGTGATAAACTGGCAGGGAAGGGGTTAATTTTTATTAGGACTGGGTAAAGGAGGGTGGGAATTTTTAAAACTTTTTTTAACTAAAAAAAAGTTATTAAAACATTTAAAAAAAAAAAAAAATTTAACATTAACCCCTAGCTAGCCTAACACCAAATTCCCCAATCTTGCAATCTGGGGTTAACTTTACCGCATGACAGACCTGGTCCGTCATCCGGCATTAACCGTTTCCCCACCATGACGGACCAGGTCCATCATCTGGCGAGAAGGGGTTAAAACTTTTCCCTCTTTTTTTCCCACCTGTGTGGGATTTGTATTACCAATATAAACCCACTACTGAGTCACAGAGCTTTCTCACTGGAGTTTGTTAGGAAGTAGACTATTTCAAGTAGGAGTTAAAACAACAGGAGTTTGAAACTACAAGGGAGTTTAAACCAAGAGGCTAAATATTGTTTTGCTCACTTGTGTTTTTGGTAACTGGGGATGAGTGCTAGCAAGATTTTACTCGATGCACATACTGCTGCATGTATGCATGCCTTGATGAATCTGTCCAGGGTCCACATCTCTGTGGTGGGTGTGAGCAAGTGGCATTTCTGGAAGTTCAGATTAGAGATCTGGAGAGGAGATTGACAATCTTGAGAGGAGTCTGCTGCTCACTGAGCAGTTTAGTGGGTGCAGGTAGTGGAGTGGGAGGAGATGAGACAGTTGGTGAACGGGCACGTAGCTGGGTGACAGTGGGGCAAGGAAGCACGGGGGGAGGGAAGAGAAAAGGTTTAGCTAGTCCTGATCTTGTGCAGCCTAACAGATTTGCCCGTTTGAGTGAAGATGTTGGGAGCATCAGCTCAGGAGTAGCTTTACTGCAGGAAGCTGTTCCTTCTAACAGCCGTGGGAACAGCCCCTCTAGTATGGGTGGGGATGAGAGTGCAAGGAAGGCTCTCTATTATTAAGAGAGTAGATAGGGTAATCTGCCACTCTGATCGTCTCAACCGGACAGTTTGCTGTCGTGATGGATTGCAACTAAACGGAAGAGGGTCTGCTGTGCAAGGGGATAGGATGGCTAGAAGGTTGGAGAAGATTTTAAACTAGTAGTAAGGGTGGGGGGAGGGTCAAAGCAATCTAGGAAATGGAGATAGGATGGAAAGGAGACAGGCTTTAGCTCAGAACAAAGGGGGTGGAGATGGGGGGAGGGGAAAGATCGGAACAGAGGAGGTGTGCAATATTGATAAAAATTCCCAAAAAGTACAAGTGACTCATGATAATATTAAATGTATGCTTACTAATGCAAGGAGCCTATATAACAAAATGGGGGAACTAGAGGCAATAGCATACACTAAACAATATGATATAATAGGCATAACAGGAACATGGTGGGATGAGACACATGACTGGGCAGTTAAGTTAAATGGGTACATGTTATTTAGGAAGGATAGGAAAAACAAGAAGGGTGGTGGGGTATGTTTATATGTCAACCATGAGTTAAAGTCAAATCTTAGGCATGTGGAATGTGACGAGGAAAAGGTGGAGGTTTTATGGGTAGATATCTGCTTGGGGCAAACAAAGGGAAATCATTTATTGGTTGGGATATGTTATAAACCACCTAATATAAATAGTAATGAGGAAGAACAGCTGTTGGAGCAAATTGGGAAAGCTGCAAATCTGGGTAACACGTTAATTATTGGAGATTTTAATTACCCGGATATAAATTGAGATAGAGGGACTAGTACAGGAGTCCTCAAACTCCGGCCCCCCAGATGTTGCTGAACTACAACTCCCATGATTCTCTGGCTATCTATTCAGCAACATCTGGGGGGCCGGAGTTTGAGGACCCCTGGACTAGTACTTCAGCAAGGGGAATCCGGTTTTAGAATGTGTTACATGACACTTTTATGTCACAACTGGTACAAGCACCAACTAGAAAGGATGCTTGTCTTTGTCTGGATCTCGTTATAACAAACAATGTTGATCTTTTAACCAACATTCAAGTAGGGGAGCATTTGGGAAATAGTGATCACAATATGGTAATTTTAATAGCATTTTACAAAGAAGTAAGTAGAAGTATAGATCAGGGTGTTGCAGTGGATTTGATCTACTTGGATTTTGCCAAGGCATTTGATACAGTTCCTCACAAAAGTCTTCAAACTAAAAGAAATTGGTCTAGATGAATATTTTAGTTCTTTGCTTAGGGATGGAGTACAACGAGTTGTCATTAATGGTAAATTTTGAGGCTGGACAAAAGTGGTAAGTTGTGTCTCTAAGGGTTCTGATTTGGGACCGCTTCTATTTAACATATTTATAAATGATCTTGAAATAGGCATTGAAAGCCATGTTTCAGTGTTTGCAGATGACACAAAACTTTGTAAAGTAATAAAATGTGAGCAGGATATTGCTTTGCTGCAGAGGGATTTGGATAGATTGGGGGACTGGGCACTAAAATGGCAGTTATGCACTTTGGGGTTAAGAATGCACAAGCAACTTACACCCTAAATGGTAGTGAAGTAGGGATAACCACACACAAGAAGGATTTGGGAATTGTAATAGACAATAAATTAGGCAGCAATATGCAATGTCAATCTGCAGTTGCTAAGGCCAGTAAGGTTTTGTTGTGTATAAATAGGGGCGTAAATTCTCGAGATGAAAATATAATTTTGCCTCTTTAAATCGCTGGTAAGACCACAGCTTGAATATGCTGTGCAATTTTGGGAGCCTGTTCTAAAGAAAGATATCATAGCACTGGAAAAAGTGCAGAGGCGGGCTACAAAACTGATAAAAGGAATGGAGCATTTTAGTTACGAAGAAAGGTTAAAAAATTTAAATCTGTTTCGTTTGAAAAAACGGCGCCTGAGAGAGGATATGATAACATTATACAAATATATTCGGGACCAATACAAACTTTTATTTAGAAATGTATTAATAAACAGGGCTATACATAGGACACGAGGTCACAAAGAAAAGGTTTTTTTACAGTAAGAGCAATAAGGATATGGAATTCTCTGCCTGAAGTGGTGGTTTTGTCAGAGTCCATACAGATGTTTAAACTGCAATTGGATAAATACTTGCAAAAACATAACATACGGGGATATCATTTCTAATTAGTGGGGTAATAGCTGCTTGATCCAAGGAGACATCTGACTGCTATTTTGGGGTCATTGAGGAATTTTTTCTTAGTCTGTTGCAAAATTGGAAGCGCTTCAGACTGGGGTTTTTTTTCCTTCTTTTGGATCAACAGCAAAAAACAAATGTGAGGAAGGCTGAACTTGATGGACGCAAGTCTCTTTTCAGCTATGTAACTATGTAACTATGTAATATAACTGGAAAATTAAGGGTAAACCAGTATGGTCAGAAATACTACAACAAGCTGATTTTCAATATAAAATGGAGGCAGACTTCTATTATGAAAGATATCAATTTGATAAATATATGCAAATCTTGAGGCAATATAAAGACAGGAGTATTTGTAAATTTATGTCTAAATAATTTGATAAATTGGAAAGAGCTTGTCATGTCATTTACATTTCTGTGTTGTTACCACTGCCAAAAAAAAACCTATTCAATAAATAAAATTAAAAAGATGAAAAAGTCCAAATCCACTATATCAGATTTAAAGCGAGAGGACTATTTTGTAGCCATTTCTCGAGGAGGCCCCCTAGTGTGAGAGAGATCTGATACACTTTCAATCTGATACACTCAGCAATAATGTTGTTGCAATATTAAGTAAGAGTTAGCTCAGTTATAAGGATACTTTCTTGCAACTCTGAGAACTGGTTACTAAAATAGATAAATGCTAACTAGACCAGGGGTAGTCAACCTGTTAATACATACCACCCAGTTTTGTATCTTTGTTGATGGTAATATTTCCTTAACGCTGCAGATCCTGGTGGTCCAGTGGTGGTATGTTCACCTTAGCCTGCATCTCCTCCGGCCGCAGGCCTACTCGTCTGTTCTCACAAGAGCACAGCACTGTATCAGAGCGTTGCCATGTTAACTCATGGCAACGCTCCTGTGGTGGGACCGTTACCTGCTAGTGAATTTATGCGTGACAACCCTGTGTTTTTCCACTATAATTGTGTGTATTCGTATGTTTTACCTACTCCCAATTCGGAAGTAACCATACGAACGAGTTCTGTTTGCCTCCCGAACGGGGACTACCCCATTTAGAATGTTTAGTTAGAACATTCACACCTCGTTAAAACATTAACGCCTCGCTAACAAAGTGTGAAAAACCACAAACCGCAAGGGAAGCCTCGTCGGGTGCCGACCCTGGGTGGCGGCCAATTAGCAAATTGCTTCCCACCCCGTTTGGTTCCCAAACGGAGACCTCCCCAGTGTCTTTTGGAATGTTCACAGCAATCAATTAGAACGTTGTAAATTTGCAACATAAGTGTGAAACCGCAAGGGAAGTAATTAACGAGTGCTTCCCTGGGTGGCCACCGGTAGTGGGGGTAACTGGTCAGGTTACCAGCTGTCCCGCTACAGCTCCGACCAGCCTGCACAGAGCCTCCCAGGTCCTTCGCTCTCTCTGCTGGAACTAATTGCCAGCGTGCCGGTGAGGGAGATTTTTGATCTCCTCACCAGCCCCAGAGGGCTTACAGCAAGGCTGGCTCTGCATGGGCCGGTAGGGGAGATGAAAGGATCTCGCCTGCTGGCCTTGGCCACGGCCATCGAGGCCCAATGGATGTTTTCTGCAGAACTCACCACCGCCCACATGAAATCCCAGACTGCCCACTACTAGGTTGAACTAGACGGTACTTTACAAGAACAATATATAACATAATAATAATAATAATAATAATAATAATATGTACACTGGGAGTTAGGCTAAATTACTTTAACTCTTACTTTTTGGTTAATTGGTTCCCTCTATTTTCATTTCACACTTTTTGTCACTTTTAGATTTTTTTACTTTATCTATTTGCAAATTAATTGTATGTGCCTTGTGTGGTTTGTGGTGTTAATTTTCAACAATAAAGACTTATAATTATTTGAATTGTAAACTGCTGTTTAATTACCAAGATGAATGATAAAATACTGGTGGCCATTGTTTGAGGTTTATCTACAGTAATGGAGCTTTATCCTTATTAGTTTATAGATAGTATCTGTAACGGAACCTTAGGCACCCCGACCGGGTACCTTCTGTTGATGGATGCTCCTAGTGCTTCCTGAGGACTCTAAGCACTCCGCCAGACACCATAACCACTGTAGACTCCCATGAACCGCCGCAGCTTGGTTGGGGTCTCGCCGTCTCCACCCACTCTGGACCCAAGACCAGGGTCCAGCTTCCAGTAGGTCCACCTCTCCGAATTCCAGTGAGCAGGAACAGGAACAAGCTCTTAGCAGAGCTTAATGATTATACCCTGGGGAGTATAGTGATTATCGCAATCCCCAGAGTGTAGTTCTCCAATCCCCCATCCATGAGCCGAAACTTCATGAAGGTACAAGATGACCTGACTCCAATGAGTATTTATTACTCCTTATATGCAAGTTTTCAGGTCAGAGGCACACCCCCTGGACCTGGTGGTAAACTGTGACAAAAGGGACACAAAGCAATGGGAACACTAATTAACATAACACATGAAAATGTGCTTGTGGCTGGTCAAATAAGACTTTCCCTTAACTTTTTAACCCCTGAACCGATTGCCCTGATATTTGAGTATGTGTATATTTCAAGCATGCTGATTTTGAAAATGTATGTTTTATGTGAATGGCATGTATATTTTGGAAGTTATTAATATTTTGTAAAAACTCTATTTCTCTGCCTGTGATAATTAGATTAACCATTGTGTTCAGTAATCATATCACAGGCAGAGGGGAGGATTTTGTGTGGGAGTGTCTGTGTGTATTGTACGGATTGATTGGCTGTAATTCAAAACCCTGTGGGCAGTACTATGTTTGTGGATTTGTGGATTGTGACTAAAAGAGGCTGTATGTGCCAGTACAGGCAATTCTACTTCACCCTCAATCTGAGTCCTGTCTCTTATTGGGGGAATCTGCTACAAGGGATTGCTATGCTGTGCATACTCTCTTGCTATACTCACTGCTAGGCTCTTGTAAGAGCTTGTTCCTGTCCTGCTCTCTGAAGGAGTCCACGGTAGTTATGGTGTTGGCTGGAGTGCTTGGAACCCTCAGGAAGAGCTAGGAGTATCCTTCAACGGAGGTACCCAGTCGGGGTGCCCGTCGATCCGTTACATAGTGATATAGCAATCCCCAGAGTGAATATAGGCGTCTCCTCCACACATGAAACGAGACTCTATGTTGAAGGTGAAGAGGAACTCGTTCATTGGTAGCCACAACTGGCCTTTTATGACAATCCCCATGTAAGGGACCTGAGAGAAAACTACAGCAGAAACAAATACACGATTACATTGGCTCTCATATCCAGGACACTCCCATACACAATGATACAATTCCTCCCCTGTGCCTGGGAGATAATTGAGTCATGGACTGTACTAACTTACTTATCTCCAGGCATAAAAACACACATTTACTATCACAGAGAGTGCTAGTTTAATTATTGCAGATTATTGCAATTATTGCAGATTGTAAGATCAAGGTGCCCCAGTTACACTTCCAGTGTCCTCATTGGACATACCTTGGTCAGTAGGTGATCACAGTGCTAGTTTAATTACTGCAGTTTGTAAGATCAAGGTGCCCCAGTTACACTTACAGTGTCCTCATTGGACGTACCTTGGTCAGTAGGTGATCACAGAGAGTGCTAGTTTAATTATTGCAGTTTGTAAGATCAAGGTACCCCAGTTACACTTATAGTGTCCTCATTGGACATACCTTGGTCAGTAGGTGATCACAGAGAGTGCTAGTTTAATTATTGCAGTTTGTAAGATCAAGGTGCCCCAGTTACACTTACAGTGTCCTTATTGGACATACCTTGGTCAGTAGGTGATCACAGAGAGTGTTAGTTTAATTATTACAGTTTGTAAGATCAAGGTGCCCCAGTTACACTTCTAGTGTCCTCATTGGACATACCTTGATCAGTAGGTGATCACAGAGAGTGCTAGTTTAATTATTACAGTTTGTAAGATCAAGGTGCCCCAGTTACACTTACAGTGTCCTCATTGGACATACCTTGGTTAGTAGGTGATCACAGAGAGTGCTAGTTTAATTATTGCAGTTTGTAAGATCAAGGTGCCCCAGTTACACTTACAGTGTCCTCATTGGACGTACCTTGATCAGTAGGTGATCACAGAGAGTGCTAGTTTAATTATTACAGTTTGTAAGATCAAGGTGCCCCAGTTACACTTACAGTGTCCTCATTGGACATACCTTGATCAGTAGGTGATCACAGAGAGTGTTCGTTTAATTATTACAGTTTGTAAGATCAAGGTGCCCTAGTTACACTTACAGTGTCCTCATTGGACATACCTTGATCAGTAGGTGATCACAGAGAGTGCTAGTTTAATTATTGCAGTTTGTAAGATCAAGGTGCCCCAGTTACACTTACAGTGTCCTCATTGGACGTACCTTGGTCAGTAGGTGATCACAGAGAGTGCTAGTTTAATTATTGCAGTTTGTAAGATCAAGGTGCCCCAGTTACACTTACAGTGTCCTTATTGGACATAC